GGGGGAATATTGACATTTTAATATTATTTTTCCCTCTTCCTCATCATTTTTTTTAAATGACACAGTTTCTCTATGTAGCCCTGGCTGTTCTAGAATTCATGTAGCTCAGGCTGGCCAGAAACTCAGAGATCTGCCTCCCTCTGCCTTGGGATTAAAGGGATGCACCACCATTTTTGTTGTTTTTTCCTTTTTTTTCATTCCACAAACAACTTTCCATTTTATGTTGGTGTTCTTTAACTGCGTCCTCCATTGTTCTCTACTTCTCCAGTCACCATTTTGGTTTGCTTTGTTTTTTGAGACAGAGTCTCAATATGTAGCTCAGGTTGGGTTGAATTCCAGATCCTTCTGCCTCAGTTTCCTAACTGTTGGGATAACAAGTGTGTACCACAATGTACAACCCGGTTTACTTTTGTTTGTTTGTTTTTTCACTTATTTTGAGACAGGGTCTCACTAATTAATCATGGATGACCTGAAACTGTGTAGACTAGGCTGACCTGGAACTCATAGACTCACAGAGATCCTACTTCTGCCTCCCAAGCACCCAGTAAAGGCATGTACCACTCCCGTCCGCCCCTTCTCAACAGCACCTTACTATGGATCCCTTCTGCCTGAATCTGCACCAGAATCATGTATGTGCCCACATAGACAGGTCTTTATTTACTCTTTATAACTAATAGGTTTTCTGTACCACAATAATAGGTTTCTCCACCAATGCAGTAAGCCAGATCAAGCCAAATTGAAAAAGCAAAAGAACAAGTATATTTGAGCAAAGCAACTCCTTGGTGGGTTCTCCAGCACCAGAGATCAGCGCCTGAACAAAAGCAGGGAGGTTCTATAGCCTGTAGACAAGGGGTGATGTCTCATCTGCCACAAGCTAGGTTTGTGCCAAAGTATGGTCAAAAGCTGATGTTGGACAACTTCAGGGGAGGAGCTGCCACAGCCGCTGAGAATGCAAAACTGGGTTTTTTGGTGCCTTCCCTTTGTTTGGAGATTTTTCTGAGTGGGTGGGTTTTGGAGAAATAGGAATGGGAATTTCCTTATTATTTGGTTCCAGCCAAATAAGGTTATGAGGATGTGTGTGTGTGTCTGTGTGTGTGTATGAGTACAAGTGCCCACAGGGGTCAGAAGAAGACATGGATCCCCTGGAGCCAGAGTTACAGCTTCCAGTTGCTTGGTGGTGTTGGTACTGGGAACTGGACTGGAGTCCTCTGAAAGAGCTGAACGCTTTCTTAACCACTGAGTCATAGCTCCAGCCCTTATACATACATTTGGGGGTCATAAGTCAACATCAGGTATCTTTCTAAATAACTCTCCACCTTATTTCTTTGAGACACTGAATCAGGGAGCTCACCAATTTGACTAGAATGACTGGCCAGCAAACCCCAGGGACCCTCCTGTTTCTGTCCCACAGTGCTGGATTTACAGGTATGTGCCTGTTTTCATACCGTAGATTTTTTTTTCAAGACAGGGTTTCTCTGTGTAGTTTTGGTGTCTGTCCTGGATCTTGCTCTGTAGACCAAGCTGGCCTTGAACTCAGAGATCCGCCTGGCTCTGCCTCCCAAGGGCTAGGATTAAAGGCATGAGCCACCACCACTCAGTCATATCATAGATTTTTAATAATTAATTTTTTGAGGCATGTTAATTTTCTGTAGCCTTGGTTGTCCTGGAACTCACGATGTAGAGCTCAAACTCACAGAGATCCACCTGCCTCTGCCTCAGGATACTGAATGCTGAGATTAAAGGCCTGTGCCACCACACCCATCTACACTGGTTTTTTATATAGGTCCTGGGAATCTGAACTCACAACCTTGTGCTTGTGAAGCAAGAATTTTACCAAGAGGACCATAGCCTCAGGCCTCCTCCCCTCCTTTTCCCAATGCCTAAAATATCTAAAGAACTTAAATCTTTCAGCATTAAATTCAGAGGAAGCATCACCCCCAGTACCATGAAAACAATCAAACAAGCGTTATAGGGATTTTACTTAAAGGAGGTGCTTAAAAGAAACCAAAACCACAGACTGAATGGTGGTTGCTAGGGGCTCAAGGGAGAGAATGGGAATTACCCTTTAATGGGGAGAGTTTCCATTTTAGAAATGAGAGTTCTGAAAATGGTGGTGCTCTGGTGAGAGCAATATGAATGTACTTATACCACCAAACTGCACATATAAGGGGATAATTGGGAAGGGAATGACAGGGATTGAAGCCAGTGCCTTGCACACAGTAAACAAGTGCTGTAACAGTGAGCTGCATTCCCCGCCTAAATTATCAAATGAATTTACAACTCTAAGTTTTTTATATGTCTGGGTGTTGGGCCTGTAGGTATGACTATCTGCCACTGGTGTGTCTGGTACTCTGAGGGCATCAGATCTGGAACTGGAGTTACAAATGGTTGGGAGCCACCACATTGGTGCTGAGAATCAAACCTGGGTCCTCTGGAAGAGCAACCAGTGCTCTCAACTGCTGAGCCATGTTATATATCTATAAACATATATATACATATATATTTTAGTATTGTGTGTGTGTGTGTGTGTGTGTGTGTGTGTGTGTGTGTGTGTGTTTTCCACAAAAGCGAGAAGCAGATGTGTAATCTTCTGGAATTGGAGCTACAGGAAGCTATGAACAGCTTGATGTGGGTGCTGAGAACCAAACCCAGGTCCTCTGAAAGCCATCTCTCCAGATTCACAACCATAATTTTTTTAAAAAAAAACGGCAGAAGGATGGCTAATAGGTGTAGTGGTTTATTCTTATAATCCCAGCATTTGGTATGCTCAGGCAGGAGGATCACTGTGAGTTCAAGATCAGCCTGGTCCAGTCATACCTTCTCAAAGACAAAACAAAAAAAGCAGGGCACAGTCAGTACAGTGTTTGCCCAACATGAAAGTGCTGGTTTTGGGGGTTGGGGAGATGGCTCAGCAGTTAAGAGCAATTGGACCTGGGTTCAATTCTCAGCACCTACATTGTGGTTCATGACCATCCATAACTCCAGTTTCAGGGGATCCAATGCTCTCTTCTGACCTCCTGGGGCACCGGGCACTCATATAGTACATATACATACATACATGTAGGCAAAACATACATAAATGAGTAAATGTAATAAAAAAAAAAGTAGTGCTGGGTTTGATTCCTAGCTCACCAGAACACTAGTTGTAGTGCAGGTATTGGTGACATTTTTGATACACTATATTCACCTGGCACTCATTCATACACCTAATTAAATCTAAAGAACAGATAAACAAACCCACAGAACAATCCTCAGTCTGAATTTCTTTGAATTTTAAAACAATTTGTTTAATTTCATGTGTGTGTTGCTTGTATGTATACATGTGCACTGTGTGCATGCCCAGTGGTGACTCAGGAACTGGGTACTGGACCCCCTGGAGTTACAGATGGCTGTGGTCACCATGTGGGTGCTGGAAAATGAACCTGTGAGAACTGGGCATGGTGGTACAGGCCTTTAATCCCAGTACTCAGAGGGCAGAGGTAGGTGGATCCCTGAGTTTGAGGCCAGACTGGTTTATAGAGCAAGTTCCAGGGTAGCAGGACTATATAGAGACTCTGTCTCAAAAAAAAAAAATTGTTTCAAAAAATGTTATTCTCTAATATTTACTTTTAAAGTATAGGTCCAGACATTTTCTTTTTCTTTTTGGTTTTTCAAGACAGGGTTTCTCTGTGTAACAGTCCTAGTTGTCCTGGAACTCACTCTGTAGATCAGGCTGGCTGTAGTCCTACCCGGTCCTGCAGCTGCTTATAATTACACAGAGGCTTATATTAATTACCAATTCTATGACCTATTGGCTTAGGCTTCTTGCTAGCTAGCTCTTACAACTTAAATTAACCCATTCCTATTAATCTATAGGTTGCCACGTGGCCGTGGCGTTACCTGTCTGCTGGCATCTTGTTGATCCTTGAGCGGCGGGCTGGCATCTCTCTCACTTTCTTCTCTCTTCCATTCGAATGTACTGTCTAATCTTATTCTGCCTCACTACTGGCCAAACAGCTTTATTTATCAACCAATCAGAGCAACACATATTTACAGCCTACAGAAAGATATCCCATAGCTGCCGGCCTTGAACTCAGAGGTCTACCTGCCTTTGCCTCACAAATGAGGGATTAAAGGTGTACTCCACCATCACCTATCTAAATCTCTCTCTCTCTCTCTCTCTCTCTCTCTCTCTCTCTCTCTCTCTGAGACAAGGTTTCATTGTGTAGCCTTGGCTGTCCTGGAACTTGATCTGTAGGCCTGGCCTTAAACTCACCAGAGAACCACCTGCTTCTGCCTCCCTTCTACTGGGATTAAAGGTATGTGCCACCACTGCCAGGCCTTCAGGCATTTCTAAATGCACAAAATAACTCGTGAGCAGTGAAATGGCTCAGCAGGTAAATAAAAGGTGCCTGCTGTCAAGCCTGAAGACCTGAGTTTGATCCCTGGGACCCACATAGTGGAAAGAGAGAACCAATTAATGTAAGCTACCCTCTGATCATGCCCACATACATACACAAAATAAATAAAATACAATTAAAAGAAGTTATTAAAAATAATTTGTTGACAGTCAGGGCTACACAGAGAAACCTTGTCTTGAAAAATAAAACAAAACAATTTGTGAGTGGGGCATTATGGCTCCTGTCTGTGACCTAGGCATGGGAACACCCCATGATGCTATTTCTCAGGAAGGAAATTTGGACACAGGAATGCCTGCAGCCTTCCTCAAATGATGTCCCCATACATACCTCAGATGTTTTTCTGAAGACAAGTAACGTGGTCTTGCATTTAAATACCCTTGAACAGGTTGGCCTGTGGAGGAGTTGAACTGTAAACTCCTCACTCGCTTGTTAAAGGAGGTGTGATGATAAAATTGAGCCTTGCAGTACAAATTGCACTCAAATGCTTGGCTGCCTTGAGTCCCCAGGTTTCGGCTTCAGTTCTTCAGGCACTGATCAGGAGAGGCAACTTGGACAAGCTTTCATCATTGAAAAGCACGGCCCAACAGAAAACAGAACAAGTAAAATCGAGTAATTCTTTATTTTTATATGCTGGACAAAGAAGCTTTCGTTAAACTTCCTTCCCAGTGGAAAGCAGCATGACAAGCAGCCTCCACCTGCTCTGCTCAGGGCCGGGACTCCCCCTTGCCCATGAAGTGAGGTGGAGGGGTGTATTTCCCCTCCTTGATTAGCTTATTCCGCCGTTGTCTGATTTCCTCCAGGCGTGCCAACTGTCAAGAGGAAAAAAGCATTAGGAAATAGGCCTCAGGGCTGAAGAAAAAGCTCAATTTTAGTTTCACTGTTAAACTGGGGAATACTTTCATGCAAGAGGTCCTGTGAGACAGAGTTTATTTCTGTCTTTTGTTTTGTTTGTTTTTAAAATTTCCTAGCTGGGCATGGTAGCACATGCTTTTAATCCCACCACTCAGGAGGCAGAGGTAGAGGCAGGAGGATATCTGTGAGTCCAGTCTGGCTTATATAGCTAGGTTCCAGGGCATCGAGAACTACACCAAGAGACCTTGTCTCAATAATAAGTAAGTAAGTAAATAAATAAATAAATAAATAAACAAACAAACAAACAAACAAACAAAATAAAATTTCTGTGCTGGGGCCTGAACCCAGGCTTTGTACATGCTAGGTAAATGCTGCCCCATACTTGAAGTTTACCATTTTTCAAGAAGATTTTATTATTTAATCTATGTATATTTGTGTGTGTGTGTGTGCACATGTGCATGTATGCCCATAGAGGTGTGAACTGAGGGACAAGAAACTGTAAGCTGCCTGACATGGGTGCTGGAAATTGAATTGAATCATTGGGAAGAGCAGCAAGTGCTCTTAACTGCTGAGCCAACTCTCCAGCCCACTAAACTAATCTTTAAAAAACTATCTGAAAAACAAAGAAAAGAACTAACTGGAAATCAATTCTCAGCTTTTTAATAGGTTCCTTTCTCTTTTGGTTTTTCAAGCAGGGTTTCTTTGTGTAACCCTACTATCTTTGAACTTGCTCTGTAGACTAGGCTGGCCTTGAACTCAGAGATTTGCCTGGCTCTGTCTGAGTGCCAGGATTAAAGGCGTGTGCCACCATCGCCCGGCTAAAGATTTCTAATATATATATATATTAGATATATATATATAATATATGTATTTTACATACTTGAAAACTAATAATTCCAACAGTCTCAGTATATAGAAGAAAACAGGTAATTATACTTTGTGAGCTTGTAAGCTAGTGGGTAAAGGAGCTGCTGCCAGCCTGGAGACCTAGTTCAGTTCCTGGGACCCACGTGGTAGAAGGAGAGAATCAACTCCACAAAGTTGTCTTCTGACCTCCACCCTGTACTACCACTCAAATGCATTCACCCACACAATGAACACACATGCACACACACAAATCAAAACATTTGTACATGTTAAAATGTCTTAAAAATATTTAAAGACAGCTGGGCATTAAGAATCAGGCCTGGGCCGGGCGGTGGTGGCGCACGCCTTTAATCCCAGCACTCGGGAGGCAGAGCCAGGCGGATCTCTGTGAGTTCGAGGCCAGCCTGGGCTACCAAGTGAGTCCCAGGAAAGGCGCAAAGCTGCACAGAGAAACCCTGTCTCAAAAAACCAAAAAAAAAAAAAAAAGAATCAGGCCTGAGCTGGGTGGTGGGAGCACATGCCTTTAATCCCAACACTTGGGAGGCAGAGACAGGTGGATCTCTGTGAGTTCCAGACCAGCCTGGTCTACAAAGTGAGTTCCAGGACAGGCTCCAGAGAAACCCTGTCTCCAAAAACTGAAAAAAAAAAAAAAACATCATGCCTGTCAATTCCAGCACCTGCAAAGCTGAAGAACTCAAAATAAATAAATAAACAGATTTTTAAAAAAGTAACTTGACACTCTTTCTTTTTTGGGGGGAGGGGGGAACCAGGTCTCACTATGTATCCCTGACCAGCCTAGAGCTTTCTAGGTGGTGATGACATTAGATTTGTACCACCACACCCTTCAGTTACTAAAAGTTTTTGATCCAGATAACTTGGCTGTAAATTTAACAAAAATCCAGATTGTCTCCCTGAACTTGGAGATAAAATAAAAAATTTCAGCTAAGCATAGTGGTGCACACCTTTAATCCCAGCACTCTGGAGGTAGAGGAAGTGAGTTCGAGGCTAGCCAGAGCTACACAGTGAGACCCTGTCTCAAAAAAAAAAAAAAAATCAAAATCAATCAATCAATCAATAATTTCTATTTGATACCCCTGCAACACAGAAATAGGCAAAATGATGGCCTAAAGCCAAAGTCTTCTTTTCTAAGATCAGGGCCCACATGTTATGCAATTCACTCAGTAAGACCTTTTCCTCCCTGAACCTTGGGTCAAGTTTGCCTAAAGCAATGTCATTAATGAATGCCTCCATCTTCTTCAGAAATACATCCAGTTGGTTGCATCATGTTCATTGTGCTAGATCTACAGGGTTTGAGAGTTTCTCCAAGGAGGGATCAATGACTGTGAAAGTTCCATCCTAAATTGTTCTTCTTAAATTTTAAAAAATTACCTTATGTTATGTGTATGGGTGTTTTGCTTGCATGTATGTCTGTGCACCACAAATGTGCCATGTGCCTATGGAGGCTACCTGGTGTTAGATGCACTGGAAATGGAATTATAGACAGTTGTGAGCAGCCATGTGGGTGCTGAGACTGGAACCCAGCTCCTCGGGACGAGCAGTCAATACTCTTAATGAGTCCTGAGCCATCTCTCCAGCCCCATCCAAAACTTTCAAGACCAACCAACCAAAGCCAGTGGGTATTTTCTGCTTTATATCCTACTGAAAAGATAAGGCCTAAATACACAGGCAGCTCTGGCCACAGCCAGGGACAGGCACAGGAGAAGAGGAAGAATACTAGGAAAGAACAGGCCCTCCTCAGATCCAAAGCTCTTAACTTCCTAAGTGCCTGATGCTTCATTACAAAAGTCTTATTTGTGAGTAAGTCACTGCCCAAAGACCAACTGAAAACACTGCAGATGACTTAAGGGCCTAGAGATGTATTTCAATGACAAGAGCACTTCCCTAACATGTGCAAAGCCCTGGGTTCAATCCCCAGCACGACCGAAAAAAGAGTAAGGGGGAAGAGGAGTGAAGTAATTCGGCTCCCATATCCATTATTTACTCACCGTTTTGAACCGAAGGTAACATTCTTTGTAGTCTTCATATTCTATCTTGCACTCTTCTTTAGCCCGGGTAGCCCCAATTCCATGTGAACATTCTATCCATTCTTTTTCAAAAGCATGGCATCGAGAGGGAATCTTGTAGGGCTGTTCAGAGCTCTGGTATACGAAGTGCCGATCTAGGCTGATGCCCAGCCTCTTCTGCAGATCGAAGAAAGGCATGGCTATAAAAGAAGAATAAGAGTGCGATAACGTGAGATGTTTCTGAGAAAAACCAAGAGCTCATCCGTGAAGTCCTAGTCCCCAAATCTCTTCTCACCAAACCTTGTTTTGTTTTTCAAGACAGGGTTTCTCAGTAGCAGTTCTGGTTGTCCTGGAACTCACTAAGATCCACCTTCCTCTGCCTCTCTCTGCGCCACCCCACATGGCCACCAAACTTTTTTTTTTTTTTTTTTTTTTTTTAATAATATCGCCAAAAAAAAAAAAAAAACAAAAAAAACAAAAATCTCAGCCGGGCGGTGGTGGCGCACGCCTTTAATCCCAGCTCTCGGGAGGCAGAGCCAGGCGGATCTCTGTGAGTTCGAGGCCAGCCTGGACTACAGAGTGAGTTCCAGGAAAGGCGCAACACTACACAGAGAAACCCTGTCTCGAAAAACCAAAAAAAAAAATATCTCATCTTGCCCAGGCTGACTTCAAGTCACTACTGTAGTCAAGGAGGGCCTTGATTTCTTCATCCTCCTGTCTCCACCTTCCAAGTGCTGGGAACACCAAACTTTTATTAGACGGGTTCTCCCAGTTGAATAATTAGGGGACTTTCACAGAACTCATGGAAAAGAAAATTAAAGTTATAAACATGGATATTTTTGTCTAAGGTGAAAGAAATTTGTTTTTACTCAAGAAAAAAACAAAAAACCCAACAACCAAGAAAATGGAAAACAGAAAAGTATTAGCCCAAATTATTTCTTTACACTGTTCTATACTTTCCACCCCAACCTAAATGACACTTCTCTTCAGAAGCTCTCTAGAATCTAGTGTTTCTTCCTTTACAGAAGTAGTCAGTCTGTCCTGGGCTGGAGAGATGCTCAGTGGGTAAGAGTGCATGCTGATCTAGCAGAGGACTCAGGTATGACTCTCAGGAACCAAGCTGAGTGGTTCACAACCACCTGTGACTCCAGCTTCAGGGGATCTGATGCCTCTGGCCTCATGGAGCAGCTATACTCACATGCCCATATTCACACATCCACACATAATTAAAAATTAAATTAAAAAGTACTGTGTCCATTTCTGTAACAGAAATGTATGTCTTCCTTACTGGATTTTGCTTTTGAGAGCAAAATCAGAGCAGGTACTGGGCAACTGCTAAAAAAATAAATAAGTAAAATTTAAATAATATAAAAACCAAACAGGAAATTTCAAATGTACAACTATAAAGAAATGGGTAAAATTCTGGTGCTTAGTAGAATATGATAGGCATTGAGAAAAAAATAATACATGGATAGGGGCTGGAGAGATGGCTCCGAGGTTAAGAGCACTGGCTGCCCTTCCAGAGGACCTGGGTTCAATTCCCAGCAATGGCAGCTCACAGATGTCTGTAACTCCAGTCCCAGGAGAGCCGGTTCCGGCATACAGACATACTTGCAGGCAAAGCACCAATGTATATAAATAAAAATTAATTATTTTTTAAAATAACAAATGGAAAATACATAGTGATGTTGACATAGAACAAAATAATGCCACACGACAAAACTGCTCTAAGACTGGAAAGCAAGGCAGCACACACAACAATATCATCCTGTATGCACAGATTTAGTGATGAATTTAATTTACAAAGTTCCTTCCCATTCTTTCAGTCACTTACTGTGCACAGTACAGTCAAATGGGGGAAACCAGCTCATTTGCTGTAAGCACTGGAGATCCCCATTGGGAACTCAGAAAGAAACCTAAGTGTAAGAGTTCGAGGGAGGAAGCTCCCAGGAGACTAGAAAAAGTCTACATGACAACTTACAACTGCTTGTAACTTTAGTTCCGGGGGGACCCACATATCACACACACACACACACACACACACACACACACACACACACACACACACACACACACACACACACACGAGTAGTGAGTTCCAATATGGCCTAGACAATAGGAGTTAGGGTATGTGTGGGGACAGAGGTGTCCTGGATCGGCTGCTGAGCCAAACTCACAACACGAATGCAGAGGACTCAGGAGGACGGGGGGGGGCCGAAATCACTGGAGGACTCGGGTAGGAAACGGGGTGCAGCCTGGTGTGGTGGCTAATTTCAGCACTTGGGAGGCTGAGGAAGGAGGATCTCCGAGTTCGAGGCCAGCCTGGTCCACAGAGTAAGTTCCAAGACAGCCAGGGCTACACAGAGAGACCCTGTCTCAGAACAGAAACAAACAAAAAAAGAAGCGGAACGTCAGGGTAGGAGGAAGGCCAAGGCAGGAGTCCGGCACAAGGCGGAGTGGACACGGAGGGCCCGTGGGATTGTAGTTGTGGGGTGACGGGGCCTGGGAAGGAGGAGGACACGCCCAGGGCCCGGGCCACCCACAGCAAAAGCAGATTTGCCAAGGAGACTTCCTTGCGGAGCACCTTGGCTGTGCGGACACAGCAGCGCCTACCGCACTACAGAAGCGTCCTTGTCAGCTCCCCGGTCTCAATTCACGACCGCCGGCTTCAGGGAGACGCAGACGCCTGCCGCAAAGGACACTCCACAGTGCGACGTTTACAGCGCGACGCCGCAAGTCGATCGGCGGCCGTGCCCCTGCGGGAACCGTAGGAACCAAGCGCGTCGATCTGCGCCTGCGCAGCCAGCGGCCCTGCCTCCGGACACTGACAGCTGATAAACTAGGCGTCTGCGCCCGTAGTGAGTTCTCGCTCTCAGCACTGTCACGACAGCTGATTGTTGTGCTACTTGACCAAGGTCACACTCGGGAAAGAGTATGACTTCTCTCACCCCAAGCACTTAAGCCCGTGGGCCGTGACCCCAAAACACGTGTGTACCTTTATGTTTCCTAACCTCACAGTGCCTGTTTCCCTTTCTATTAGTAAACGTAATAACCTGCTGGAGAGATAGCTCAGAAGTTAAAAACACTTGTTGCTCTGACAGAGGACGCCGGTGTGACTCTAGATTCAGGGAACCCAACATGTTCTTCTGAACTGGGCAACACCAGGAGCATACACGTGATGCACACACATACAAAAAAAAACCAAAACACACTCATACAACTCATACACATAACAAAGTAAATCTTAAAGATAATAGCGGCTAGCATGGAAGTTGCAAACCCTTTAAACCCCAGCACTTGAGAGGCAGAAGCAGGTGGATCTCTATGAGTTCCAGGCAGCCAGGGCTACGTAGAGAGATCTTGTTTCAAACAAACTAAAAGCTACAGAGTTGCTATAGGAACTGGTTTATACTGTGACATGGTGAAAAATGTTCTTTGGCTGGGTGATGGTGGCTTACCCCTTTAATCCCAGCACTCGGGAGGCAGGGGCAGGCGAGTCTTTGAGTTTGAGGCCAGCCTGGTCTACAGAGCCAGTTCCAGGACAGCCAGAACTACACAGAGAAACCTTGTCTTGGGGGAGGGGGGAGAAGAAAGAAAGGAGGAGAAGAAAGAAAAGAAAAACGTTTCTTTGATGTTATCACCCGACATCTGCATAAAAGCAATCAGGAAGCTGAGACAGAAGGATGCCTGTGAGTTGAAGTCCAGCCTGGTCTACATAGCCAGATTCCATTCCCCCCAAGAAGAGTCTCTGGAGAAAATCCCCAAGGTCCACAATATTAATTTCAGTCACTCCAACTTGCTCCACCCACCACCTTCCCCATCAGCTAGGTGCTCCACATGAAATCAGTTTCAATTCAGTTAGTTTTCTGAGCACTCAATGTGTGTCCAGCAAAATACTAGCTCATTATGGAACTGGTGAAGCATGCTACAAAGCTCTAGTAGCAAGGGACTGATGACCACCCTTCAGACCCACCCCTCCCCCTGTTTTTCTTACAATTCTAGAGCTAGAACCCAGGGCACCACATGCTAGCACATGCTCTATCATTGAGCTACACCTCCAGCCACCCTTTTATTGTTGTTTCTGAGACAGGGTTTCTTTTTGTAACAGCTCAGGCTGTCCTGGAAATCTCTTTATAGACCAGGCTGGCCTCAAACTCACAGAGATTCTTCTACCTCTTCCACCCAAGTCCAGGGACTAAAGGCATGCACCACCAATGCCCGGCTCACCCTTGCTTTCTTGTTTTCTTGGTGGTAGCATCTTTTCAGTTCCTTAGGCAGGTAAATTCAAATTGTTGTTCGAATTTTAGATGGTCTTTTAATGAAAAACCCAGAGCTAGATATCGGTGAAAGCTGAAAGATCAGAGAAGCAGAACAGCCAGCCACTAGTTTTTATCTCTATGAAATCCTCAGCCTAAAGAGAGTGAGTTCCTGTTTCCTCGTGTCTTATATACCTTTCTCTTCCCTGCCATATTACTTCCTGGGATTAAAGGCTGTGTGTGCTTCCCAAGCAAAGGCATGAGATCTCAAGTGCTGGGATTAAAGGTGTGTGACCACTACTGCCTGACCTCTATGTCTAATCTAGTGGCTGGCTCTGTCCTCTGATCCTCAGGCAAGTTTATTAGGGTACACAATATATCATCACATCAGATTCTTTCCACAAATTTCCAATATATTTACTTCCGGTCCCCAGCTCTTCAATCCATCTTGCATGACCAACCTTCCAACAGTACAGACTTTATTATATTTCTACTCAGAAATATCATGCAGCAACAGTGGAAAGAAGGGCAATTCTGATATTTCCTGGGCCAAACAGGGCCCACTGTAAGAAAATGATTACGGCCGGGCGGTGGTGGCACACGCCTTTAATCCCAGCACTCGGGAGGCAGAGCCAGGCGGATCTCTGTGAGTTCGAGGCCAGCCTGGGCTACCAAGTGAGTTCCAGGAGAGGCACAAAGCTACACAGAGAAACCCTGTCTCGAAAAACCAAAAAAAAAAAAAAAAAGAAAAAAAAAAGAAAATGATTACAAAGGCATGTGATCAATGACGAATGATCCTTGCCCTCAGTTTGAGGAATGATAGTAGCAGTGGGAAATCCAACAAACTGGAGCCCTATATTCTGTTGAAAGGTAGAAACAGCTAGCCTCATAGCTCCATCTTATTGTTATGAGAGAACTAAGTTATCAAATTTTTAATTTTTTTCCTCTTTTTTTTTGGATTTTTGAGACTGGGTTTTTCTGTGTAAGCCTGGCTGTCCTAGAACTCACTATGTAGACCAGATTGGTCTTGAACTCACAGAGATCCGCCTGTCTCTGCCTCCTGGGTGCTGAGATTAAGGGTGTGTGCTACCACACCTGGCTCAAATCTTCAAGAGAATTTCAAATTTTCAAGAGAAGCTGGGAATCTGCTGTAACCCCAAGTACTGCCTAGGTGACTTAACTGAATTTCTACCTTGCATCAATCTTGTTTATCTTTGATGACAAGATGTCCATAGGCAAGAATTTCCTCAAGTGGGTTAGCTATCATTGGTTGTCAAAGAACTTCTAGCCTTATTAGCTTACCAGATGCAGGAGAGACTTGGAGCTGAGACAGTCGTGAGCAGGGCAACCACACCTTGGCCGAATTGATTAGTTATGCACATCTCTTGCCTTCTGTTTAATCCCTATCTTCATGTCAGGAAGAGGAACTTGGGGGAATCCCCTGATCTTTTTGTCCCTCTTTTCAATTTAACCACATTGAATAATTTTTTTTTTTAAATTTTGCTATTTGGCTCTTTTTATTGGTTTATTGAGGATGAGTAGCTGAACCCTGGCTTGCTGAGGCACACAGTCTGTGAGTCTGAGCCATTACCACATGCCAAGGTCCTTGTTGGGTTCCTGACAATAAAATAGTCCAATTGTTGTGGCAAGTGATGTTATAGAAAGACTGGGGGCATAGCACAGCAAGAGAACCCTACTCAGCATGGATGACGCCCTGAAGCACAGACACCACTCAAAAGAGGGAGCCCATTCATTCTGGCTGAACAGTGGAGTCAATGTTTCAAAATGCCAAAATTCCTAGGTTTACGTTCTATTTCCAAATCTTGAGATATACTGCCTTCCACTCCCTCCCAAACTGCCTTCAGTTATCCAGAAATAAAAATTACAGGGTGTGTGTGTAGCTGGAGAGTTTTCTCTCTGGGTCCTGCCAAGCCCCGGCAGTCTAACAGCCCACTTATAAAATAAACACACAGATGCTTATATTATTTAAACTGTTTGGCCTAATGGCTCAGGCTTCTAGCTATCTAGTTCTTACATCTTAAATTAATCCATTTCTATAAATCTATACCTTGCCATGTGGCTCGTGGCTTACCAGCATCTTCACATGCTGCTTGTCATGGCGGAAGCTGGCAGTGTCTCCCTCCGCCTTCCTGTTCTCTCAATTCTCCTCTCTGTTAATCCCGCCTATACTTCCTGCCTGGCTACTGGCCAATCAGTGTTTTATTTATTGACCAATCAGAGCAACACATTTGACATACAGACCATCCCACAGCATGTGTGTGTGTTGGTTCTATCCTTCTACCACCTGAGTGTGGAGAAGTGTTGAACTTGAGGGAGTGAGTCCCAGGGGACTGAACTCCAGGGACTCAAGGAGGATTCAATTCAGGTCGTCAGGCTGGGTGGCAGGTGCCATAACTCACTGAACCATCTCTTGGTCTTAAGTTTGAACTTCTTTTGCCTTGAATGCTACCACTATCTCCCCTCCAATCCATTCACACCCCATTTGTCTCACCAGTTTCTGATGAACATTCCAATTCTTCTGATATTTTAAAGCACTTCATGAGGCCCTGCCAGCCCTATAAATGTCCGTTGTAGACCTAAGTGTGAACAGGTCCCCATCACTGGACGTGTCATACAACAGGGTCCTCACAGGTAACAATGGCCTTTCCTCGAATGCAAAAGCTGGAAAACTACAACTCCCAGACCAAGGAGGAACCATGTCTGAGCCATTGTTGCTATGGTGCCCAGGCTTCTGGAATTCTGTACTTGGGTCCCAAAGCAGAGATGTGAGCTTTCAGGTCCTCCATCCTTCACTTCCACACCTTCCCTCCTCAATGCTTCTTTAGGACTGTATAATGAAGTAAAGGACTTTATGCTTGTCTTCATCTCTGGGACATCAAGACTCCAAGACCCTTGTAACTCAGGCCTAAGGCCCGAGCCCAACCCCTCTGAACAAAATTCAGTGGCTGCCTGAGGACCAGATGTCTGCGCTTCACTGATGGGGCAGGGTTATTATCTCAAGTACTCTAGGCATCCACTCACAGAACTTCTATCCTGGGCCATTCACATGGTGGAAACTTTATTTAGATGTCTTTACTGTTATGCAGATCTAAACAGTGTTAGTTTAAGAAGCCTGGCACAAGGGAGAGCCTTGATATTGGAAACTCAGGCTAGTAATTGAGCTGTAGGACAGAAATTAAATTGTGTCAATTCCATTTGGAGATGGAGAAAATATCAAGTTGAAAACGAATCCAGTAATCCAGGAAAAGCAAAGTGAGTTGGGAATAAGGCTGTCAGATTCAAGATGCAAGAGGGCGATAGATATTCCATCCTTGGAACTCCCTTCTGTGAGGGTTGCAGCTTGGATGGAAAGGTATCCTGGCAGTCAGGAGCTAAGGAATGCTACAAAGTCACCACAAGCGTAGCAGTTTACAGCTCTGCTCTGGGGAAAGGTTTCCCCAGTGCAAGTGTGTATCAACTGTGCTCCGCTAG